CTCATATTTACTGGGAAATGTCAAAAATGTTCACTGCATGTTACCACTCAGAGACACAACTCCCTTACACAGCCAGAGTCCTTAATGTCTCGTTTTCTATAGCTCCATTTTATACATTTTCTATACGTCCATTTTCTGTAATTGCGTTTTCTGTTGACAAACCTGGAAATTATTTCTCTTTAGTTACTTATTTTCAGCATTATTTTTTCATATTCCTCTTTACCTTTCTTCTCGTTTTTTGATGCTACTAGAAGGAATTAGGCATTGTTTTTGTAGTAACTGCATCCCTTTATTATTCCCTACAACTCTGGGTAGCAACCTGGTCACCCATCCTGGGAATCCACAAACTTCAAACTAGGAATCAAAATCTTCCCAAACTTTTAGGCCCTGCACCGAGACCCACTCTCCAGTGCCTGTGGACTTGTTCTCCATACGGCATTTGTCATGACTGAAACCAAAATTACGTCCTAATTTTGTGCATTGCTGTCAAACATCTTGCAACTTGGATCTACCAGCACACAATAAGATTAAGAGTATAAATGTTGATTGAAAGCTAATGCAGTAAATTCCAGATTTTGCCAATCGTTTGTAATATTGATGAAATAAAATATTTGATTTGCTTTATAAAACTTTGCACAAGTCACCTATTAATTTCAGGTGAATAACTTTATTTAATAAATAAGTTATGAAACAGCTTGAGACTAATGCACTTAATGTATTAATATATTTCTTCATCTTACTATTCTGTATTTGAATGGGAGTTTTGTTTTTTAAGGTGTTTAATTGATATTCATTGAAACAGTGAGGAAGAATAAAAATGTTTGTAATATATGAATGATATTTATTGTAAAACAGTTCTTTTTGCATAAGATTAAGTATATCTGACTGTGAAATGCCAAAATGAAAGGGGGGAAAAAATATGTATTTGCTGATGTATATGGGTTAATTTCAAGTGTGTAAAGTATATGAGTAAGCAGCAGCTTTTTTATATAAGCCGGAACTTGAGTTCATGATACAGGACAGTCATTGATAAGATAAAGGATAATTATGCGGGGAATAAGTTAATAAGAAATACAACATGCTTAAGTTCAGGGACATCATCAGGAATTTAGAGATAATAAAAACTGTCAGTTTTATTTCCATATGTGAAAAGTAATGCACCAAATTTTTATTATATTGTTGGTACTGTATTTGATGGCATATCAGACACGTGCATAATATTTGCACTGTCAGTTCAGCAGGGCATATTCATGGGGAAAAAGTGATTCCACACAGAAATTGGTCTTAATTGCTGTCAGGTATGGCACTTTTGGAAAAGATTTCATGCTTAGGTTCATTTTCCGCACAGTACAGTTAATAGAACTGTACCCTATAAATTTTGTAGTAGATTTTTAGTCCTCTTCTCTTACATTTGGCAAATAGTAATAAAAGGATGTTTTATCATCATTCATTTCATGTGTTTTATTATTATGAATTTTGCCCTACACTGTTTTCTGTAGACTTTTAGATATAAAATGTTTATTTACCCATCAAGGTTCTGATGCAGAAGCATCAACAGTGGGTGAGTTTATAGCAATACTCTTTTATCTGCATGATCTTCACTCCTTACCATATTTTGCATTCTCCCCAGTATTTTTTATTTGTTTGTTAAAATATCAAAACAGTAACAGTATAGTTCTTTTGGAAGAGGCGATTACTGTAGCTAGGCTGGTAGTGTGCAAAAAGTTTGTTTGCATTTGCTTCTAGTTTTGTAAAATTTGAGTTTAACCTTTTGGATCCAGGTGATGTAACCATCATATCATGAGAAAAAAAATGTCTGAAGGCTGGGTGATGTGAATATGTTGTCATGAAAAAATTTAGCCAATGGCCAGGGTGCTGCAATATGCTGTTGTGAGAGAGGCTCTTGCATTATTTCCATTGGTAAAGAATGGTAATTATAGACATACTTATGATCCCTGATCCTGTTCACCCCAAGGTGTATTGTGGAAAATTTAGTATTATGAAAATATTAAAAAGGCTTAAATAACATAATGTTATTTATTGTTATTGCACAAAGTTTTAGACTACTTAAAGAGATGCTATGGAGTCTATCTATGGGAAACCATTTATTACCATCTTGATACAGCATATCAAATGATAAATATAGAACTTGGAAACTATAAAAGCAAAAAAACTCTTATGCAGAAAAAGATATCATAACATTGTAAAGGGGAGGCAAGAAATTTTGACGTAATAGACTGATAGTGTGGATTGGGCCTACAAGCTCTACGTCTAGGAGAGTTGCCACTCAAGTTAACCTAATGCCTGGATTTTAGGCAGCAGGATACCTGAATCTAATGGGTTAATTGCTTACATTATTGTTTGACATTTTGTCTTTTAGTAATGTGAAGTAACTTTCATGATGTTTCATGCTCAGGTGTGTCCTATATGGAATACTTTACACATTTCAGTTTAGTCAGGGAGATCTTTACTGAGACGTTTCTAGCTGAACTGTACATTGAATATGAGTGAACAAAGTGTCCCAGGGGTTGTGGATTTTGTCTCCCCATATTATATGCATAGAATAACAGTGGGAAGAAGTTATGTTTCAGTGTTTTTAATATTTTTGGTAACTGAGTAAAGTGCTTTTTTTTCCCATTATTATTAGTATAATAATTCATATCTTTATTATTATTTATTTATTTATTTTTAGGTTTTAATGCAAAAAAAATCAAGTATATGTATGTACCTCTGCAGTTTATCTAGCTAGAGATTAGTGCCACTCACACCATTAGCATCATTACATGCTGAAATGATGGAAGTTGGGTGCTTCAAAAATTAATCATTTATGTTTGTTGCATTGTATTTTTTAAATTCAGATTGCTTCTATTAAAAAAAATTCAGTTCCATGTTCTTTCATTACAAAATACTTCCATTAAGTCCATTTTAGGTCAGGAATGAAAAATTATTTTGGCTGTTACTAATCAGCATTGGCTTTTGTGTGTTTTTATTGTTGTCTAATATGTCCTCTTGCTTGTTTGTTTTTGTTTATGATTATTTTTTTTATGCTGCTTCAGCTAAAGGCATGGTTGGTTTTATATTTGAATAAAAAAAAGAAGACTGACAAAGAAATATGCCCCATGAACCAAGAAAAATTACTGTTTTTAAAAACCATTTCTCCATGTGGTTAACTCCTTTCATATACATTTTTCTTTTTTTCCAATTTATATAAATAGGCTACTAAATGGTATTGCCGGAGAGTTGGCTTGATATGCTAACCATTTCTGTTAGATTTGTCATTTCATGTTTTATATTAAAGGTACAAATTTCATTTATAAAATGCTACACAGATTATTTTAGTTATTGATTTATTTACAGTGAACCTAGTGGAGACAGACTCAACACCAGGGGGTGTCCAGCTGGTTAACCCTTACAGGACCAACAAAGTGGATTGCATGGACTTGGTTGAGCTTGCACAAGAAATCCAGAAGGTATGGAGCATAAGCTTTTTATCCTTGTTTTGTCTCTGTATGTTTTATATCACGCAAGAAGTTTAGATAATTTAGTTTCATTGCAGCATGTTCATTCATTAAGTTTCTCCAAATAAGATGCTGAATAACCACGTGCCTAATACTCAAGTTAAAGATAAAAAGGAAGCAAGCTTGGTACCAAATGAAATGTCATCATCATAGTAGTTAGTCACTGACTACTGTTCATAATTATTCACTCTAGCTTGTCTAGTTTCATATTGAAAATTAGTTCCACAAAGAAAGAAATATCTGGGAAAAAAATATTTAAGTTCTTATGAGTTACTAATCATACCTTTTGGGTGTTTTTTTCATCACTGGTGTTGATCCTTTTATTTTGATGAATATTCACTTTCTTGCTAGTTTATTATCCCTCAGTGTGTAAAGTTTGTGGACCTTGTATTTTCTTTTTTCCCATGGAAGGATGTGAATTTAAAGTTATTTTTTAAGAGACTAAATTGGTTCAGGTTGCATATCATATCTTTACAGGCAGACAAATTTGTTCATGCCAATGTGAGCAACAAGCTCCAAGTCATAGCTGAACAAGTGAGATTCCTTCAAGATCAAGCCCGAAGAGTCCTGGAAGAAGCTAAAGAAAATGCTGACCTTCATCATGTGCCTTGCAACATTGTCAAGAAACCAGGAACAATCTACCACCTCTATAGAAGGTCATCAGGACAAAGATACTTGTCACTGCTGAGCCCACAGGTAACGATGAAAACAGGGTTGTCATTTAGTCTCGATTTCTAATATCAGTGTTGATTTAGTATATAATTGAAGCAATGTGGAGAATGGTAAAGTTTGATTAGTTAAAAAAAAAATCTGTTGATTTCAAATGTAAAACCGTAAAAGCAGTGCTAAGGATAAATAAACCTTGGCAAGGTTTTCATAATGTATATCTTAATAATAAATGCCTTATTCATGAAGAAAGTGGAAATGAGTTTTATAAATTTCTGAAATAGATTTAGCCCTCTGTCAACATCATGAAGGTAGAGAAATATCTTATTTGTTGCTCATTTATTTTACACATTTATATTAGCTTGCCTGTTTATCAGTTCATATTCCCAAATTTCAGGAGTGGGGTAGCAGCTGCCCCCATGAGTTCTTGGGAAGTTACCGCCTTGAGCATGATCATTCTTGGACCCCAGAACACAAAATGGAAGCCAGATCCAATGACCAGCAAATGATCAACAAGATCCTGACCTGCTCTAATACTTTATCAATAACCATGGGAGATAAATGAAACCTTTGAGGACAGGTATTAAAGCTTTTCTTATATGCATACTGTTATTTTAATTTAATTTAATTAAATTATGTAATGTGTTGGTAAGCCTCTAGCATTATATACTAATTTTTTTGTATGTAACTTCTGATAACTTTTAATTCTTCCTTAAAAGTTGCAACTGTATGAGGTTTATCAAAATTATGTGTATATTTTGCTGAATCTTTTCTATGTTTAAGTGTTAGAAAAGAAAAAAAGTTTTCCCTAAATGATACTTATCATACTGGTAATAGTAACTGGTGGAGCGTGTGTTGTATATCTTTGTTTATTATTATCCACTGTGTGGGTATGGAATAGGTTATATCATTTTCTTCTTGCTCAAGACTTTGGTTTGAGAAAGTCACTCTTACATTTGATGTTGCAAAAGGATGTTGAGAATGATTTTTATATATTTTGTTAATGTATAACCTTTTAAGTAAAAGTGAAATTGCTTACCTGATCTTATCTACTTAACCCAGTCCTTGAATTTTTGGAAAGTAAAGGTTATATTTGCTATTATCAACTATAATAACTAAAATAATACTAATAATGGTTATACTAATACTTATGATAATAGTAATGTTGAGAATGATAACTGTAATGAAAACTTTTTATTCCAAAAAGTTCAAGAATGGGGTAAACACAGGAGATCAGATATACAGTATCAGTAACTTATAGTCCTCTGTTAACAAAATTAACCCTTTCCTGACGGGTCATGCGCTAAGGCGTCATAACAAACCACTCAATCTGTGGAGTGCAGCTGTACGCCACGGCAACGCGCCAAAGTGCTATGAGCCGGGGGTTCGGCTTGATGTACCGAACTCCCACACTTAAAGTCGCCTCTTTTCCATTAATCTCCAGAGTGTAGAGTTTTTATTTTTTATTTTCTACACTATCAGTAAGGGGTTAATGAAATAAAATTAATGTAGACGGTGCTTGTAACCATAGCTATTGGGTATACCAACAAATTTATGAAGTATGTTTTACATTACTTAGTTGTGTTGCCGCTTGTCCATCATATAGCTGGTTAAAAGTGGTCTTGCATAGGATTTATTAGTGCTTATGTTCTGTTTATATAAATAAATTGTTTGTGTGTGTGTGCCCTTGCTGAAAGCTAGTCTAATTGTATTTTTGAAAAGTGAATACTATACCAATTTTATATATTCATGACTACCTGATATCTTGTGACAATTTTGTAAATTATATCAAATAAAATTATCAGGATAATAATAAGTTATTTCCCCCACAAATTTGTTTTCAAGATGTATACGTATACTCTGAATATGAGCTTAGATGCCAGGGTGCAGGTATACATGCACTCTATATATGCCTTTATTTGTACAAACACTCAGGTGTAGCTTGTAAAATTATTCCTATCCAATTCATTAATCCTTAACCCTTGGACTGTGGAAGACATGAAATCATGCAATGGCTTTACTGGATCCAGCTGTGGATGGCACCACATAATGGCACATCCTGCTAAACGGGCTGAACAGAGGGAGCTCTTTATTTGATAACATTGTTTGTGAAGGGAACCTTTAATTTATTAAACTAAATGAAACTTTGGTTGACAAAATGCTGCCACAAGCTATTAGATGCCTTAACCCCTTACTGATGGGTCATGTGTATACGCGTACCGCATGCGGACCCATCTGTACGGGAACGTTTATTCACGTGATCCATTTCTATCACGTCCCTCCAGGGCCGCGAACAAAGAGAGAGAGGGGAAGACAGAGAGAGAGAGAGAGAGAGAGAGAGAGAGAGAGTGACGTTATGCCACGTGACAACATCACGTGATTTTCACACCATTTCCAGCGCGTACCTCACGTGATTTTTTTGAACCTTCTGGGTAGTTTGGTGAAAAATTACCCGTTTCCCACACATACCTCATGTGACGATATCACGTGTCTTTCTAGAACCTTCTGGGTAGTTTGGTGAAAAATTACCAGTTTCCCACACATACCTCATGTGGCCCCCCCCAATCCCTTGCCCGTTGTTGTTGTGGGGGGGCTAAGGTGGCGGAGACTGGGACCCAATGATGGGGAACTCCCCAACCTTGGGACTCAGCCCTCAACTCAACTAATTTTGCATGGTCTTTTTTCCCTTCCTACTTTTTCGTTTCTGTCCCTTCACCAATCCCTTCTACTATCCACCTCCGAAGGTGTGAGAGCCGTGCTGAAAGGATGAAAGGCTGACTTTGTGCCAGTCCTGAACGGCCTGAGGGAGCCATGGGCACGGTATTCTCTTGCTTAGGCCTAGCCCTTACCCCTCAAGGGGACCCTGAGGGGTGGACTGTTTCTCTCCCCAACATACTCCTGGCTTACCATGGCCAATAATGAAAACCAAACCCCACTATTAGGGGCAATGAGGTTTGCCCCTTCATCAAATAGCCCCAACAATTCAAATCCTCCCGATTCCCTGACCCCAATGCTCTCCTTTGACCACGGCTCCGAACACTGCAACAACTACCCCCTACTCAATGCCTACTAGTACAGTAGTCAACACTCAACCCCCTAGAGACATTCCTACTCTCCCATCATGCTCAACACCTCTACCTCCACAACCTTCTACATCAACCATCCCATCCTCCCTTATTAATACCTTACAGCCTTATTGCCCACCTCTCCATAACACTACCTCCCTCAACACTACTCCCTCTTCGACACGCCCCCGCCCTTCTACTACCCCTATCTCTACAACAATCTTAAATCGGTCCTATTTAGCTCAGCCAAATGGGACCGATTTTTTGTGATCCCTCCCACAGCTCCCTACTCTGACAACACCCTTCTCTTCCAGCAATGTCTCCAAAAACAAGTAGGTAAAGTCTCTTTCCGTAGCCGACCCGACCGCTCCCGTCTCATCACAGTAACATCCGAAAACCAAGCTATAGCATTAGCAAAACTAACTGATCTATATGGTAACCCTATCCTTGCAGAACCCCATCCAACCCTCAATACTTGCACCGGAACTGTATCTATCTCCCCAGCAAACTGCCCAATCCATGACAAAGATTGGTCAGATTGTGGAGAAGACTTACTCGCTTGTCTCACAGACTATGATGCGACATCAGTACAATGCTACTCCATTCCTCCCAGAGGTCAGCGTAAGAAACCCACTAACATCGCCAAAAGTACTTTCCGTAGACATGACCTCTCATTTAATGTTTACATCGGTGGAGAATCCCTCCCTGTCCGACCATACCAACCTCCTCCTCGTCAGTGCCAAAATTGTTGGTGTTTAGGACACCCAGCCAAACATTGCCGTTCTACAGCCAGATGCCCACTATGTGCCCAACCTGGCCATACTCGATCAAACTGTTCTGCACAATCACGCACATGTGCCAATTGTGGTCGCCCTCATAATGTATTTTATAGGGGCTGCCCCACCTACAAATTTGAGTCTGAGGTAGCAACTCTCAGATTCAAACTTGGACTCACACTACGTGAAGCCAGACAAGAAGCACGACGACGAAGACTGGAGTCTGTGCAATGAAATAAAACTATTACCATCTGGATAATGCAAATCAAATAGCAAATATGGACATTGGAATATGGCCAAAAAGCTAAAAATGGTTATGCGTAAAAAGAGTAAATAACTTTGCAAATAGGAGGCATTGAGTCTTATCACTGCACACACGTTTGTGTGTGCCCGGCCTACAAGCAGCCACCTGGCGACTCTCATAAGCTTAATAGCTGGACTTTTGGTGATTTGATTGCCATGATGCAAGCAGATCCAATGGGTTAATGTCCCTAGCAAAAGTAAAAAATCATTACTGGCCATGTTAAACCTGCAATGCATGGGGAGGAGAAATGGTTCACTTCCTAGGGTTCCCATGAGGTGTAAGGGCTAGATAAAAAACTGGAATACCATTCCCACATTTCCCTAAGGCCATTCACTTCTGACCTAAAGCCAGCCTTTTAGCCTTTCAACATCTTTTACATATTAAGAAGTGGACAGAAGGGAAAAGGAAAGGGGAGAAGAAAAGACCTTGACAATTTGTTGAGCCAGAGAGAGCAGAGAGAGACCGATTTTTTTTGTATTTTAGTATGGATGTTACATTCTTCAGTAAATTCTTTATATTTACGAAAAGTTGTGCTAATAATTGCATGGTGTCTGAGTGACTAACCTCACTCAGAAAAAAAATGTACTTTATTTGAAAAAAAGAATGCCTGTATATTATTTGGGGTGAATTACACTGAATAACAATGTACACAGTAAGTTCCATAACTTAATGCATTTATCAAACTGCATAAATGTATGAAATATGCCAGATATTACAGATACATTATCATAATTAACATTTTGTTAATTGTTCAGACATATTAAATGGAATTATACCTTGTATACTGACCATTGATAATAATGAAAACAAAACATCTATACTAACTGACCCACTACACCTACATCTACAGATACATTCTCTCCCATGCCCAGTCACTTGCTGCCATCTTCATATACACACTTATATGCATGAAGCTGCATGCTTCACATTTCACATTTCTTATAGGTGGAGTACAATATATTGCAACAGCACATCAAGTTATAGCAAATGTAAAAAAAAAATCTCATTGTACTGATATCCAACATCAACTTACATTCCTACATGCTCTCAACTCCACCCTGCTTTGCCCACTTCTTTATCTTGACAGTAACACTTTTAAGAAGCAAACCATATCAGATTGATGCCCTTTGAATTTCAAGAATTCCTCTATTTCCTACTAGTCCACACTAGGCCAATATAATTTACTTGAAGAAGATATGGTAATTATCATCACTCTTTCTCCCATCATCTACATTTCCACCATCTTGTAGGGAGTTGCCTGTCAGCCAGAAGAAACCTGCCTCATGTGTACAAGGGCTTACACTGTCTTTCCTGTTCATGTGCTTGTAAATATATCTGACATGGTGGATAACAGGAAAAAGTGCATCCTGGAATGCAATCCACCCAGACCTAAAGACAGCCTGGGTTAAAATAAGGACAATAAAAAAAAGTCATGTTACCTGCCATTTATTTTTTATCATTCAAAACAAATGACAATCATCTTCCAAAGTTGTAAGACTTCAGCCCTTGACATAAAACTCATGAAGCATTACCTGTTTCCCAAAGAAACCAATGTTATAAACATTACTGATATTACTTGAAACCAAGACAAGTGCTACCTGACTTTGCCCATAAATTGATAATCTTGCTTTGTTATTCTAGGATAAACTGATCATTCTGAATAATTATAGT